GCTGTTGACCTCCCATCACTGTAAAAAAAAGAAAAAGTGAAGGTGCATTCGTAAAAGGATGCCGTTCTCAGAGCTTATGCAGAGCAATCTTACAAAACTCACAAGGTTGTCCAGGAGGAGCTGGCGGTCCTGGAGGAGCTTGAGGAGCAGCGTGTGCAAACCCGGCATGTGGAAGAGGTGGTACACCGGGACCTGGAAATCCTGCAGGAGCCCGACCAGTCATTTGAGAAGGGAAAGATGGCATTCCAGGTGGCCCAGGCGGTCCGCTTAGAGCAGCCTGTTGCTGGTGTTGTTGCTGATTAGGCATTAGAGGTTGTCCTGCAGAGCTTGCTTGATATGAAACGGGTTGAGGATAATTTGGCAATGAAGGATTCTGGGAGATATTACCCCCGTAATTCGGAGGAACAGCCTGAGGCTGGCTCTGGAACGAAGGTGTTGGCTGAGGCGGTCGCATAACAGGAGCTCCTTGAGTTGCAGGGGGTACCGAAGGTCCGTTCTGCTGATTCACACTAAAGGGCTTTAGTGAATTAGAGATAGTTGCTGGCGGAGGTGCTTGTGTCTGATGTTGGAGACTAGTCGTAGGGCCAGGTCCAGGCTGAGGTGGAGACTGCGGAGTTGATGGCCCATTTTGAATTCCATTCACAGCACCAGGAATACCAGTTGGTGGCTGGAAAGGTGAAGCGGTCGAAGTAGGTGTTGGGAAAGGCCTCATGTTCGGTTGCCCAGCTGGTGGCATTTGCGGCGCGTTGCTAAAATTCGGCGTTCCAGGATACCCATGTGCAGCGTCCATAGATGGTTTTTGAAAGAACGCTGGAAAAACTGTACTATCACCAAACATAGAATTTCAATATTTCCAAAACTAACCATTTTGAGGAGGTACCCCAGCCATATTCATGTTTTGTGCAGGAAACGCAGCCTGTTGTTGGGGTACAGGCCCTCCTCCATTCGTTGGAGGAAAAGGTGGCGCGTACATGATCCTAAACGGATATGCAAACTTGAAAAAAGAAAGAGCAAACAGAGATTTGCA